ATATATATATATATATATATATATATATATATATATATATATATATAATGTGTGTGTATATCCAATTATTACATCTAGCTTCATCTTTCACTAATGTCATTTTATTATTTCAGATACAAAGAGATCAAATGTATGGCCTGGTATGTTGGTCATATTTTCCTGTACATAGTTATTGTTTATTTGACGTACATGCCTTTAGACTGTGGGGTTGGTGACCTTTCCCATCAGGAGGAAGGAATCGTAATGTTCTCCAATGACAGAGAAGAAAAATGGCCTGTTGATGGACAGTTTCAGAGGGATTCCTGCTTCCTGCTCCTTGTCCTGAGGTCCTGCTTCTCCGTCTGACATCTCAAACTGCACAGTGTTGAAGGCCTGAACGGAGGCAGAGAGAGCTGTTAACTCATATACACTCAGAGGACTGTTTTATAACGACAAGTGGACCGCTCATCTGGTTGACCTTATCTATGGTGAAGGGTTTGATGTTACTGAGCTGAATGAACTCAGCCTGGGAACCCAACAGGTCAGTCTCGAGCACTGGGCTCATGTTGGTCAGTAGGTCAGCCAGGTTGTTCACAGAAGACACCGAGAACTTGGGAAGGGACAGCTCTAACAAACTGGGGAAGGAAACAAACATTTAGAAACAAAATTAGTTGGGGCTTCTCTGTATTTTCTCTAAAAGTCCACAACTTTGTTTACAATTTTTTTATGACTGATTTAGTAAATCTACATGTGCAGGTCATGAAATTAGAATATCATGAAAATGTTTATTTCAGTAATTCCATGCAAAAGTGAAACTTGTATATTATATTCATTCATTACACACAGACTGATATATTTCAAATGTTTATTTTAATGTTGATGATTGTAACTGACAACTATAAGGAAAATCCCAAATTCATTATCTCAGGAAATAAGAATATTGTAAAAAGGTTCAGTATTGAAGACACCTGGTGCCACACTCTAATCAGCTAATTAACTCAGAGCACCTGCAAAGGCCTTTAAATGGTCTCAGTCTAGTTCTGTAGACTATACACAATCATGGAGAAGACTGCTGACTTGACAGTTGTCCAAAAGATGACCACTGACACTTTGCACAAGGAGGGCAAGACACAAAAGGTCATTGCTAAAAAGGCTGGCTGTTCACAGAGCTCTGTGTCCAAGCACATGAATAGAGAGGCGAAGGGAAGGAAAAGATGTGGTAGAAAAAAGTGTAAAAGCAATAGTCCAGTCCACCTACTTCACATATGGGGAGCAATATTATAGGCAGAAACATGGGTGTGCTATGGGGTCTCCAGTTTCTCCTATTGTTGCCAACCTGTACATGGAGGAGGTAGAAAAGAGAGCCTTGACGTCCTTTTCAGGGACGCCACCAAGTCATTGGTTCAGGTATGTTGATGACACCTGGGTTAAAATTAAATCTCAGGAAGTCCAACATTTTACTGACCACATCAACTCTGTGGATAAACACATCAAGTTCACACGAGAAGATGTAAAAAATGGCAAGTTGGCTTTCTTGGACTGTGAGGTCTCAGTCTCGGATAGAGGACATTTGCAAACCGAGGTGTACCGCAAACCCACCCACACAGACCAGTATTTGCAGTTTGACTCCCATCACCCTTTGGAGCACAAGTTAGGAGTCATCAGGACTCTGTATCACAGAGCAGACAGCATCCCCACTAGCTCGGGAGCCAGGCAGAAGGAGAAATCCTACACAAAACAGGCTCTAGAGCAATGTGGATATCCTAACTGGGCCTTCCTGAAAGCAGAGAAGAAACCCAAACAGGACTCCAGTCAGCCATCAGGTGAAAAGGAGGAACCCAGACCCAGACCAGTGGTCATTCCGTATGTTGAGGGGGTATCAGAGAAACTGAGACGTTTATTTTCTAAACATAACGTCCCAGTGGCTTTTAAACCCCAAAATACATTACGGCAAAGACTGGTTCATCCCAAAGATCCAGTCCCCCGGCACAAACAGAGTAATGTTGTGTATGCTGTTCAGTGTCAGGAGGGCTGTGATCAGTCTTACATCGGGGAAACTAAATAGCCACTGGCCAACAGGATGGCCCAGCACAGAAGATCAACATCATCAGGCCAGGACTCTGCAGTCTACACTCATCTCCAGGCCAGCGATCACTCTTTCAAGGATGAAGATGTTCACATCCTGGACAGAGAAGAACGATGGTTTGAGAGAGGAGTAAAGGAGGCCATCTTTGTGAAAAGAAATCGTCCATCATTAAACAGGGGTGAAGGCCTCCGGGTTCAACTGTCCCCCTCTTACAATGCTGTGATTGCTAGTATCACTCAGCCCTCTGTGAGTAGTAAACAGCCATCAGTGTGCTAATGACCCATTGTTAGGCTGATGGTCCTTCTTGAGCATGTGATCAGCTGGTTTTGGTTGTCAGCAGCAAACTGGTTGATCCACTCTAAGAAGGTGCTATTTAAGAGACTGAGCTGAAAACAGCACCTCAGACTGAGGAAGTCTCTTGGATGAGAGACGAAACGTTTCTAGATTTCTTTTGCTTTGTTTTGCTTTTGTTTTTTTGAATGTCCAGAGGACCAGATTGAACTTTTTTGGATTTTTCTACCTGGATTATTGAGCATGCATCAGGTAAAAGCAATAGGGATAACCACACCCTGGAGAGGATTGTGAGACAAAACCCATTCCAAAATGTGGGGGAGATTCACAAACAGTGGACTGCAACTGAAGACAGTGCTTGAAGAACCACCACACACAGTTGTATGAAAAACATGGGTTTCAACTGTCACAGTTCTTTTGTAAAGCCCCTCTTGAACAAAAGACAGCGTCAGAATCATCGCACCTGGGCTAAAGACAAAAAGAACTGGACTGCTGCTGAGTGATTCAAAGTTATGTTCTCTGATGAAAGTAAATTTTGCATTTCCTTTGGAAATCAAGGCCCCAGAGTCTGGAGAAAGAGAGGAGAGGCATAAAGTCCACGTTGCTTGAGGTCCAGTGTCAAGTTTCCACAGTCAGTGATGGTTTAGGGTGCCATGTCATCTGTTGGTGTTGGTTCAGAGTCAGAGATTCTTTATTGTCGTTCACTTTATTGTCCTGGTTCACCGTGTTTTCTGAGGGCCAAGGTCAATGCAGCCGTCTACCAGGAATAGAGCACTTCCTGCTTCCTGCTGCTGACCAACTTTATGGAGAAGCAAATTTCATTTTTCAACAGGACTTGGCATTCCTGCACACAGTGCCAAAGCTACCAGTACCTGGTTTAAGTACCATGGTATCCCTGTTCTTAGTTGGCCAGGAAACTCACCTGAAAATCTAGGGAGTATTGTGTAGAGGAAGATGCGCTACGCCAGACCCAACAATTCAGAAGAGAATCAGTCACTCTCAGAGCAACCTGGGCTCTCATAACACCTGAGTAATGCCACAGACTGATCGACTCCATGCCACGCCGCATTGCTGCAGTAATCCAGGAAAAAGGAGCCCCAACGAAGTAATGAGTGCTGTACATGCTCATACTTTTCATGTTCATACTTTTCAGTTGGCCAACATTTCTAAAAATCCTTTTTTTAAATTGGTCTTAAGTAATATTCTAATTTTCTGAGATACCGAATTTGGGGGTTTCATTAGTTGTCAGTTATAATTATCAACATTAAAATAAATAAACAGTTGAAATATATCAGTCTGTGTGTAATGAATGAGTGTAATATACAAGTTTCACTTTTTGAATGAAATTACTGAAATAAATCAACTTGTCCATGATATTCTAATTTTATGACCAGCACCTGAAGCCAATAAAAGGGTACAAGAAGACAAAGTCTTTGAGTGAAAGGGAGCACATTTTCTTAGATCTCTGGTTTGTCAACAAATAAGGACAATAGACAAAAAAAAAATCTTACCCTTCTTGGAAGTTCAGGTGCCATGTATCCATGAGCTTCGTAAACCTCTTTGATTCTATGTCACTGAGGCTGACCCCTTCATGAGGCAGAACTAGCACTATGTAGGACTGTTTACTCAGTGATACCTTCACAACTGTGCACTTGTTTGCCTTCAAAACAAGCATATGACAGATGAGCTTTGTTTTATACTAGCATGAATAAATTAAGCACCAATTTGAACAATAGTCTGATATGATTTACCTTATCGTTTAAGTAGTCGAAGTGGCCTGTGCGGGTCATCATTGGAGTCATCACTGTTGTTGATTCATCCACATGAAACTCCTGCAAGGAGGTCTTCTCTGGTCGGAAAGCCATTGTCCAATTGCCTAAACAACCAAAGAACAGTCAGGTACATAGTTATTATAGCAACACAATATTTTGTAAAGTAAACCTAACAGGGCTAGACCTTTGAAGCTGAAGGATGAAATGAACAGAAAGTTGCTGCTTGGGTTCAGATTGTTGAAGACGTTCTTCATCTTCCCATCTGAAGTCTTGTCCACAAAGCTGTTCACCAGCGCTTCTGCCTCATGGGGCATTGAAAAGTCCACGCCTCGGATGAATGACATGTCTGAGAAATCCTGTGTGCCTTGGATAAAGTCTCGAGAGAGATGAGCATCCTTGCGAGCAAAGGCCCACACCTGGGTGGTGATTTTCTCTTCAGGCCCATTGTCCACCATGGAGTTGATGGCCTGTAGGGTACTAAGAACCTTGTGGCCATCCACTAAATATACACAGTCCTCTCTATCAGTGCCCCTACTCAGGCCAAGAAGTTCCTGGAAGAAAAGATGGAAACTTAAGATCAGATGAACATGAAACATGGCCAAACGTTTTATAAGGGTCAACATGTTATGGTTCACAAAAAGCACCTCTTGAGAGACCTGAGTACAAAACAAATGATGCACCTGGAAAGACTTGGCTGTCTTCTTAGAGGCTCCCAGGTAGAAGTTGACAAGTGACCCAAAAGTGCTGATCGGAGAGAGAAGAGTGTTGGTGCTGTTGTGTTTTCTGCCGAGTGCCTGGTAAATCCTCTCACCCAAAATGTTTGAAAACTTAGCCAGGACGTTTTTCCTCTCCGTGATGTTCTGTCGCTGTGCTTCCGGTTTTGACAGATCCCTGTTGTCTGGTGTCAAGACTTCAATATTCAGAGAGGCCACAGGGATGGTCTCCAGAGGCTTGACGACCGGGTTCTGCAGAGGTTCACAACTGACATTCTCCGCAGCAAAAAGATAGAAGGGGTGAACGTATACACGGTTGGCTTGGCTTCCAGGGAGGCAGCAGCAGAGCAGCGTCACTAGAAGGTGAAACTGTAGTTTCTGCATTTTACCTTTGATTGCTAGTTATGATGATTTCGTCTCTGTGGGTAAAACACACGTCATTTTATTTCTAGATTAATTTGAGTGTACAGTGATTTATAGACTGTAGAGCGCATCTAAGCCATGCACACACACACACAAAAAAGGACATATACACGTATAAGCCACGTTGTAACATGAGTAGCAGCACACAGCTTCTGAGAGGGATGTGCAGCTCTTGTTGTAGATCAATAATCAACCACCAAATTGTTTATTTTACAGTTCAACACACACAGACAGAGTGAACCCCACAAGTTTTCATGCAACTACCTCCCTCACTCATGGTTACTGTACTGAATGGCCCAAAACAAACTTAACACATAACGAACACATAAACTAGGCTAAGAAGAACAGACTAATCACTAAAAGAACAATGCTAAACAGCTAACCGAAATGATTAACAAGGAACATAAATTTTACCCATAATCCCTCCCTGTGGCCATGTGACCAGCAGTCAACCACAATGGACCACAGAATGCTACAATATGTAACACACAAATACGTACAGTAAATGTCTTTTTCTGAACAGTGCCTGTAAATCGGCTGGTAAAAAAAAAATACAGGAAGTCATTGATCACTATTTTTAAGCTGTCCTCCTCGCAGAGCAAAAGTTGCTCTGTGAGCATGTGAGACTCATGTGCTCTGCACATGCAGGGGAATCCCCACTCCCCATTCTCTCCTCCCCCTCCCGTTTCATTGGTTCCACTGTAATTTAATTGGTCAGATTTTTTTTTTACCATTGTTTGTTTTAGGTAGTCTCGTGTCATGAAGACCCACCCCCCAAGAGAGACGTGTATTGGGCAGCTATGTGAGCACCCAGGTGTGACGAAGCTAAATGTTTTGGGCAGCAGGAAGCTCGTTAGCCCATCAAAAATAATAATCCATAAATTGTCTGCAGCATAAGCTGCAGGTTCAAAGCCTGTGAAAAAAGTAGCGGCTTATAGACCGTAAAGTACGGTAATTGCCTATTAACCCCTGTATGTTTCCTAGTGATCTCTGTATGTTAGAGAAACACAGGAGAAGCTTCTGAATCTGGTTTTGTGTCTCCGACAGGAACATTGACCGGATGTCAGTGAGTGATTGATTGTTTTTGTGTGTTTTCTCCCAGTGGATGACAACATACCTTACCCCTTGCAACAGAGATATAAATTTCTATTTATGATTCTACATGTTCAAATGAGTAATTACTGGGAGGTCTGGGATATTTGATGCATTTTTCCTGCAGTTGATAATTTCTCTTTATAATTTTGTACAGTTGCTATCTCTTGAGTTCTCAGGCAAAAAAGGACTTTATCCTTTGACTTGAACATGGAGGTGTGTGGACCACTGGACTCTTGTAGAATGTGAGCAAACACATGACTTTCTTGTTTAGACACGTACCACAGAAAATAACCTTGGTTCCTGATCAATAAATGTTCATATATTCAGTCAAATAACATGTGGATGCAAGAATACTGTAAGATACATTTAAAAAGGCTGACTTGTATTAGTAATGGTTTTAGTTAAATTTTTTACATAATATACACAATTTGGAAAAGATTTCAGACAATCTTCAACCTAAACTTAATTACTGTAAAGTTTTCTTGGATGGCAATACTCATTTTTTTTAGTTTTTAAGAGTCTTACTATATTTATTCTATTCATGAAAGGACTCAAACATCTACGCGTGAGATAAAGTCAAATTTGATCTTACCTTGTATGTCCGCAGCTGCTGAGCAAGTTTTCAGAGTGAGGTTTTGACTCCTCTTCTCTATTTAAATCCAGCAGCAGTGCTCAAACTCTTGTTACAGATTAACCAAAGGATTATTGAGTCAGGGGCTCTGCTGTCATGACTCACAGTCTGTTTTGTACTGATGAACCTCTGCTAGAGATTATTTGATAATGACAGTCAGGAAAAAGAATAGTGTTTGAAAATGAGGTCAAATTTTGCAAACTTGACACGGGAAGCAGAGGCTCCTTTGTGTTTTACAGTGTTTAATATTGTCTCACTGAAATGTTTGTAGGAGAATTTGCAAACAATGGGTTATGTTGTGTTCTGGGTGAGTTTTGCATGTTATCTGTAATTTTCCTTAACGTAGGCGTCAAGCAAATAAACAAAACAAGCCGACGTCAATCTATATGGGCCTTTAGTGCAAACTCACGACATTTCCCAAAATCACGAGAAAAGCAAAGAACACATGAGTCACAAAACATTACTACAATTTTTATTTATTTATTAACATAAAATCAGTAACTGAATATTTTTGTGTTGATGGCACAGCATGATAGAATGAATTAATGTCATTTCCTGTTGCTGCTGTTCAGCCGGTCCTCTTAAATTGTTTCCTAATAAACCTTATTTTCTCTTTGCAGCTCTTTTAGTGTCTATCATACTATGGACTTATGATGAAAACTAGAAAAGCCTAATGCAGCAGTGAATTCTTACTTGATTTTATCGTTTTGAATTCTCATTTCTGCACCTGCACTTTTTTTATTTACATTTGATTGCAGAGACCTTGTTGACGGAACAAAACATATTCAGAAAAAAGAGAAAAACTCTTCTTGCATATGTTTGTATTTTTGCAAAATGCAGAAACTTTCTACTTGAGTCTCCCCACTTCCTTGCTTGGGTTGCAGCCGATGACGTTTCAGAAGTTGCATATATTATATATGTTGCATTTATTAGCGCATTATTTTTTACGCAGCTGGATGAAGAACAAGTCAAACGTAAGAGAAGGGTTCTTCACACGACTGATCCAAAGAGAGGAGAAAACAGAAGAGAACTGCCTGAAAGAACATCCACTGTGAAAAACTAAAGGAAGCATTTTTCAACTTTATAATAAATGATCATCAGTTCCAATAAATCCAGGGATTTTATTTGTTCCCTGGTGTGTTTGTAAGGTTGTGCAACTTCAGCAGGAGAATGGCACGTAGATCCATTAACATAATAAAAAAGAGTATAATGTATATATAATGTCTATGCGTAGATCTTCTCTCAGGCACAGCTTTTAGCAGAGCGACATCGGCTCAAATTCATTAGAGCAACTTTTCAAGTTGATAAAGTTTTTAAGATTCACAGTATCTGAAAATTCCTAAACATGGAGATTACAATAGATCAGGGGTTATCAGACTTTTTGGGTTCAGGGACCCCTTACAGGGGAGAAAAAAGTTTCAGGGACCCTCTCATAACCCTTATGTTCATTAAATAATTTTATTTAATTTGTCTCTTTAATGCAATGGAAATATTTTTGTAACATAAATACTTCGGACCTGTTCTTTAATAGTGTTAATACACTTTTTATACTTTTAAACATGGAGTATTTTTTATTCAAGAAGACACATTCAGGCTGCTGTTTAATACATCACATTATATTACATTATTAGTGTTTAGTGTATATCTTAGATCCTTCTACTTTATATTTTTGCTATTTTTGGGTGTAACTGGGACCTTGAGTACACAATCTTGTTCCACCTCATGTACCACATGTGATGCGAATGACAATAAAAAACCTTGAACCGTCAACTTAATTAACAAAATGTTTAATTTCAACTTCCAAAAATTACAGTTTTTAGAAAATTAACAGAATCAAAAACCACTTTAAAGTATTCACATAACACGTATTGCCACTTTGTCAACTTATTACAGAAAAGTCTTTTCATAAAACTGAACAGAATCATAACACCATATTGAGTTTTCCCTCTTTTTGTCAGCAGTTTTATAATGTTGGTGTTCTAGGCGCATAAAGGCAAGTAAACTGTGTGTATTTGATCTATTTTGTTTTTCTTCTTTTGGCTGCTCCTTTCTGCAGGGGTTGCCACATCGAGCAAATTCATATTTTCTGGACAGTAATTTAGTGAATAAAATAGTTTTTTTGTCTGCTTAGTTTAATTTTTATGTTTTTTTTTTTGTTTTTTTTTACTTTATATTTATTGGTATTCAGTTTTGGGGGCAATACAAACCAGTTTTGGGGGCAATACAAACGTTCCATTATGTAGTTGCACTTTGAATATTTTATATTTTATATATATTTGGCTCAACTAAAGCCTTCTTTCCTGGGTTCTAATCGTAACTCATACAAAATATAATAAAGATGTATTTATCAGGACTGTTCATGGGTTCTCAGTCTTGTGAACATTTGTGTTCTTTAACCCTAATATTCTGGTTGAAGAGGAATTTCTTCACATATAAAATTACAAGATTGTCTTTTTATGACTGGTACCAACAGATCCATCCCACAATCCTCTCCTTTGTCCACCTAAACTTGTATTTTGTGTAAATGTTGCAGGAGACATAAAGAAAATGTGCCTGAGAGAAGATCTACGCATAGACATTATATATACATTATACTCTTTTATTATGTTAATGGATCTACGTGCCATTCTCCTGCTGAAGTTGCACAACCTTACAAACACACCAGGGAACAAATAAAATCCCTGGATTTATTGGAACTGATGATCATTTATTATAAAGTTGAAAAATGTTTCCTTTAGTCTTTCACAGTGGATGTTCTTTCAGGCAGTTCTCTTCTGTTTTCTCTTCTCTTTGGATCAGCTGTTGTGTGAAGAACCCTTCTCTTACATTTGACTTGTTCTTCATCCAGCTGCGTAAAAAAATAATGCGCTAATAAATGCAACATCCGTGATTTTATTGCAGCCCACCTGTTCCAACAAGACAAGGTACACTAGATTTTCTCACAAGCAAAATAAACGTCACCATGTCCGTGTTTAAAAGTTCTGGTTGAGTATTTTACAAGCTTACTGTAACAACTGGCAACAGTAAAAATGAGGGTCAATAAAAAAAATTATATATATATATATATATATATATATATATATATTTTAACTTGTAAAAATAATCTAATTTTAAAATCAAATTTTGAAATTGAATTGGAAAATCTAAATTTTAAGATAGATTGAAATAATTTAATTGCAGTTTGTAGAGTTTATTAATTAATTTTATTTAGCCATTTTGTTTGATTGAATAAAAAATAATTTCACACTGTATTAAAGGGGAAAAAATAATTGTTTTTCTCAACTGAATAAATTATCAGCTGTACTCTGATAAGTGGATGTTTTATTGCAAAAAAGTAAAAAAAATAAAAAATAAATATAAAATCCACTTGAGCCCCTATATGAATTTGCAGAGACTTTCAAACAAAATGCAAAACAGTTCAGTGAATAATCTATTGAAAGGGTATACAATATTATAAAATTGTCATGAGCTGATTGTGCCACTGCTTTTTTGAAGATTTACTTTAGAAAATTAATTTTAATCATCTATGGGATATCGTTGCGTTTCCTGATTTAATCTTTTTTGCAGGTGGAGCAGTGGGTGCATGTGTGACACAACCTGAAAACAAAACTTCTCTTATATATTCTGCTGTGTGTCAGTAATGCACTACATTTTTTAAAAATCAGCTTTTGTACAAGTTCCTAAAATCCCCTCATGACATTCAGCGTTGGCGAATACCTAAAACACATCGTGATTCTTGAGATGAATAATCAGTTTATTATATTGACTCACCTGTGTGCTTCTCAAGCACATAAATTACAGACTAATATTTCACCCCGGCATTTGGTGACATCAGGAACTTTATGGGTGCTATAACAAATCAATCATTGACTATATAAGCTGTGATGTTCAGGACCAGATGCAACCAGAACAGATTCATCATGTGGGCGTTCTTCATTCTTTGCAGTGTGTTCATCACACATGGAGCACGAGGTAATGTTCACTATGTCGTCGTTTCTTCTGTCTTCAGTATTTTAGCAATCGGCAAAATTTGCTTGAGCGTGGGAAAGATGACGTTTCCCAGATTATTTGGTGTAATTCTAGGATTAGCCTTGCTTTAGCTCATGCACTGATTTGAGATGTTTTCCTACAAACAAACAGGTCAGACAACTTCAGAAACTGAAAACGCAACAGCCAGTCAAGGTAAAGATTTGAACTGCTAAAGCCACTAAAATACATCTGAAATATCCATAGAGTTGAAATACAATCTATGATCCTTGAAGGTTTTGACATGCTGTTGCTTTTGCATGTTATTTCTGCAGCTGCAAGCTGTGGTGGTTACTTGTATAACAGCAGCGACACATTTTACAGCCCCAACTATCCAAACAATTACCCACACAATGCAGACTGCGCATGGTACATTAGACCAAACCGTCAAATCATTCAGTTGGAGCTCTTTAATGTAAAGTAAGTAAAATCATCTTTAAATGCAGAATGTCATTACCTTTACTGATGTGTTTTTAAAGCTAAACTGCTTCTTTCCCCCAGCACTGAGTGTGGGTTTGATTACATCAACGTCTATGATGGCTCCAGTACTGGAAGCAGGTTACTGGGAACAGTTTGTAACGCAAACAGAGCCATCTTCCATTCTACTCACCAGTACCTAACTGTGCGCTTCAGGAGTGATGGTTCAGTCAATCGCCCAGGATTTTATGCTGTTTACAGAGTTGTGGGTACGTTATTGTGGTAATAAGCCTTTTATAAAATGTCAGCTGTCTATTTTAACAAGAATTATTGTGTGCTGTCTCTGAAGACCAAGGTTTGTGTAAGAACAACTGTGGCTACCAGGTTGGGAACTGCTCCTGCTCTTCAAGTTGTGAATACCGGGGGACGTGTTGTGCAGACTACCGAGGTAAGCGGTGATTTAAAATAAATCCATTCACTTTCGTCTAATTTAATTAGTTAAATTTCAACATTTTTGTTTATTAAAGGAAAATGATCTGGCAGAAATAAAAATGGTCAACTATTGTAAATATAAAACATATATCCATCTATCTACCCATCCACCAGATTTTCTGCTTTGGTGCCCAAAGCCTGTAGCTGCAAAACAAGTCTAATTCAACACATCTGCACCGCTGTGCTTGACAGTTATCACAAAGTGTTTGTGCTGATGTGTTTGTTTTTTGCTAGCGCTGTGCATCGTGGTCAAACATCTCTATTTTGGTCTCATCTTTCCAAATGTTACTGCTCTAGAAGTATTGTGATTTATCCAAATGCAGCTTTGCAAACCTATGTCCTGCTGCCATATTTTTTTAATAGAATTGACTTTCTCTTGGAAATCCTTACTAAAAGGCTACATTTGTTCATCCCTTTGTACAGTTATGCGTATCAACATTTAACATAATACGAGAGGCCTGGAGAGTCCGAAATGTCAGTTTCTGACCTGGGGGTGATTTTGCTGGGTTTTCCACTGACAAATGTCAAAACTGTTTGAGAAAAATTCATCTTGGTCATGACCTTAAGACTCTTCTCAGATTTATGGGCAGTAACGGTAGCTTTTCTGGTGCCTTTCTTCCATGTACTGTGCTCAGCTATCAGAGGTGGTCACCTAATGATGACCAGTTAATTTAATCAGCAGCACTTGGCTGCTATTTCCCCCCTTAAATCATATAGAAGCAGCAAGTCTTTTGGTTTTGTTATTGTGTTTGTGTGAACTTTACATTAGATTTGAACCATATTAAAACTTGGTAAAAAAAAAAAAAAAAAAAGATCATTTTGATTAAATCCTGACATGTAAACCACTAAAAACAGGTAAGACTTTCTTTTCTTCAACTATTGCATGTATTTTTGTACAATAAACAAATGTGCATAATAAATAAATACTTTAAAAATTACTATCATGTTGACCTACTATTTCAGTATAGAATGTGAAATAAAATGTTTATATTCCTAATATTTGTACAAGCCTACTGTGCCAACAATTGCTATTACTACTGCTGGTGTCCTGTAATCCCACGATTTCGCAATTTTTACGCCTTCATGGTTACAATTTTAAAAGACAGTAAGCAAAACCGGACTTAAAAGCGACAAATTTAGTTATTTCATCCATATTTTTCCCTTTCAGAAGTTTGTCTGGCCTCAACTGAACAACCTTACACCAGTGAGCCAGCAAATACCACAGGTACATTACTTTCATGCTTTAATGCCCATATTTCCAAACTAACATTTCAATCAAATCTGTCAATTGTCGAACACTTTCAAAACACTTCATGCTGCTTTTCTTTCCCAGATCACATCTCATGTCGATACAACTGTGGTTATCACCTGGGAAGCTGCTCCTGCAGAAGCTCCTGTCAATCCTATGGCAACTGTTGCCATGACTACAGCTGTAAGTGCCTAGTCTGATGAATCAGCAGCATCTGTTGCTTCTGTGGCAGGTGCAATATGTCTGAATTTCCAATATCACAGTGTGCAGACAACGAGACAATATTGTTTCTTTTTGGCTCAGTGTATTATTTATTTATCAGCATAATATCACCACTCAGTCTCTTTTGTCCATTAGATTACTGCCCAACAACTGGTACTCCCGGACAGACCACAAGTACAAAAACCTGTTGAACTTCTAATTTACCTTAAAGTGTTACATTTGGCTTGGTCTGTTGTGTAATCACAGCTGTGTCTCTCAGATCAGCCGTCATGTCGTCACAACTGTGGTTCACACATGGGAAGCTGCTCCTGCTCAAGTTCCTGTGAATACCGTGGAAACTGTTGTCATGACTACTACTGTAAGTGCTAAATCAACACCATCAATGATACTGATATGCAATGGGAATATCAATATATTACAACAAACAGCTCTTTATCGTGTGCCAGTAAGCAGAAATGCAAAACAAAAACCTTAACCCTCTGTCCTCTGTCATGCAGCGTATTGTAGTTACACCACTAACAGACCTGTCACAGGTGAGAAAATGGCTCAGCGTGTAAAAAAAAAAGAAATGATTAAATTCACAAACATCTAAACACTTCTTTGCTGCAGCTCGACCATCATGTCGTCACAACTGTGGTTATCACATGGGAAGCTGCTCCTGCTCAAGTTCCTGTGAATACAGAGGAAACTGTTGTCATGACTACTATTGTAAGTGCTGAGCAGCATCAATAATAACACCGGCACACAATGGGAGTATTACTTTATCAAAACAGTCTGTTTTCTTGGGTCAGTAAGTAGAAATGTAAAGCTAAACTCTTAATCCTGTGTCATGCAGCATACTGTAGTTACACCACTAACAGACCTGCCACAGGTAAGAAAACTGCTCAGCGTTTAAACAACAACAACAAAAATAATAATAATTGCATGCACAAACATTTGTACACTTGTGTGTGTTGCAGCTCGACCATCATGTCGATACAACTGTGGTTCTCACATGGGAAGCTGCTCCTGCAGTAGCTCTTGTCAATACTATGGCAACTGTTGCCATGACTACAACTGTAAGTATCTTCAAGCACAGCAGAGTAGCCGTTGTGCAGTTTGATCACAAATGGGACATCGTTCCGTAAGAACAGCCTTCAAACAGAAAACTGAGGAAGTTCCTCAAGACAAAACACCGAATGTAACATCACCAGAGTACAGAGTGGTTTGTGATGCTACTTAGCTGAGCAATTTGTAGTTTGTCAAATAGATGATTTGTAATAGAGATGACTCAAGCCTCAAAACATCAAATTAATTTTCAAGTGAATATTTGCCATAACATGGTCATTTCATACTCCCAAAACTATTTCTTGTGTAGTGGTTGGAGTTGTCTTAAAATAATTCACAGCTTTCAATAAATTTGATGATAAATTCTGAAAAAAGAACATTTTTAAACAAGTTGTGTATGAATTAAAAAATACATATCATGACATGCACTTGTAGTCAGGGTAAAAAGGCGTAAAACAATAGTTTTAAGGAAAACAATAATAAAAATAAGGAAAAAAAGAGTTTCAATTGTATGGGTGCACCTAAAAGCTATGAAAACTGCTAGAAGCTATAATGAATGCAGGAGTATTAGTGTTATTTTGGTTACTTATTTTTAAATTGTAAAATTATTCAAATGGGGAGAAGTGGCTCCAACACTGCCTAACCAATAAACACAATGTAAAATGATGCATTTCCTTCATTTATAACTACAAGTTATTTCACTTTTTTCTACAGCTCTTCAGAATAATAAAAATAAAAAACTAAATTTACCAATTTCTAGAAAGCACTTATACTCTTTTAATTAAAAACAAACATTAAGTAGACAAATTTCATGCTGTTTTCATAGAAACATTTAAAACAACTGATGGTCAGGCATGCTTGTGTTTGCATTGTTTTAATTTAAATAAACACCTTTATGTATTTTATGCACCAACAATTCTGCATTTTATCTCTGTCCTCTTAGCTTACTGCTATGGAACCACTTACCCACCTGTCAGACCCACTACAGGTAAGCAGCAGCCAACAACTCCTTCAAAACGCTGATTCAGCAACCTGTCTTTTATTCTGCCAGCAGAGTAACGAACACAACTTCTGTGCTCCACAGAGTGGGTCACATGTCGTTACAACTGTGGCAGACACTTTGCACACTGCTCCTGCTCGAGCTCTTGTCAATACAACGGGAACTGCTGCCATGACTACTACTGTACGCATCAGGTCACATGACAAACTCAATAGAATCACCGTTTTTAAACAAGTAATTCTGAAAACTTTTCTCTTTTTTAAACAGCCTACTGTGCAGCCACAACACCCTCAGGTAGGACGATTACTGTGCGGAATTAGTATGACGCATTTGCACTTCATAGCAATGACATCATCCTCTTTCAGTGGGGTCATGTGGAGGCTCGCTGTTCGGCTCTGGCACATTTTCGAGCCCTAACCATCCCAGCTACTACCCCGACAACGCCTACTGCGTGTGGCGGCTCAGAGCTGCGCACGACCAAAGAATCTTCCTGGCATTCACATACCTACAGTGAGTTAAATTAGTAAAACTACAAGAACTGCAAAAGAAGACATTAAATACAATAACTACTGTAGAAAACAAAGTAAAACTTTTGTTTTCCAATTTACCATTTAATATTCACACTTTATGGCTCGCTTTATTCATCAGGCTGGAGAACTGCTGCTCCTGTGACTACGTTTCAATCTACGATGGTCCGTCTGTTAGTTCAAGATATCTGGGGAAAGTGTGCAACAACAGTCTGAGCACTTTTACCTCAACCTCCGACTACATGACTGTGCTCTTCCGTACGGATGGTTCTGTGGTGGGCCGAGGCTTCAGTGCTGAGTTCACGAGTTCTTTGCAACCCAGCTCAGGTACAAATGAATTATTTTAATGCATCAGACATCTACATCAAAGTTCATGCTCAATCA